CATGCACAATGTAAGAATCGTCAGAGAGGTTTCTACCCAGATTTCAGAAGAAGTCCTGGGCGATTAAGCAGTGTGTTCTTAAGGAGGCAGGCAGTGTGTAATGCTGTGAGAGGAAACTAGAGGTGCAGCAGAGGTGCCGAGAAGCTGGAGAAGCCAGTGACACGAAGTGGCTGAGAAAAGCATCGGACAGTGACCACAGCAAGCCAAGCGTGGCTGTGAGTGTGCAGGGACAGGGCCGCCGGCCGACGGGAGCTCACACTGCGTAACCACCTGCCCTGGCGCTGGCCACAAACGACAGGATTTAATATTTTCCTGTGGGCGGTCCCAGTCTCTTTGGTTTCATTCATTTATCCTTACACATTATGTGTTGGAAATGTTTAACTTTTTTTTTTTTTAATGAGGATTCACAGATAAGTTTGCTTTGCATCTCAGAGGACACTTTGGACTTACATTTTTCAGCAATGCTGAAATTTGTTCACATTTCAGTGACTCAGAGATTAACTAAACACAGTTTGCTTAAAGAGAAGCACATGGGTCCCAAAGGGGGCCAGGCACCAGAAGTTACGGTGTGGATCTGAATGCCCCTCACAGTTCTCATCTGCTCAGAGGTGGGACTTTCGGAAGGTCAGTGCACCATGGGGATGCTGCAGTACCAGTGGACTCGTGTGCTAATGAGTGGCGGCGAGTGAGCCCCTGGGGGGTGGTCAGAAAAAAAGGGCCACCAAGACCTAGAAGGGTATATGAACCTCTCTGATACTCCCTGGCCTTTCCCTGCTTCCAGGCTGCCAGGATGCCAGCCCTCCTTCCTCCACCGTTGTCCTCTCCTATGCCCTGTCTGCCTAGAACCAGTTGGCGATGCACTGAATCCTCTGAAAACCGTGAGCCAAAATGAATGTCTCCCGCTTTAAGTCATGGGTGTTGGGTTCTGTGTGGCAGTGAGGAGAAGAGTGACCAAGGCGCTAGCACATGGAGAGAGCCAGGGACGCTCACAATGACCTTAGTATCTTCTTCCTACAGGTCTGCAAAGGACGCAGATTTGCCCTAGTGCTGTGTGATGAGCACGTGGGAGGGAGTTCAGTTTACACGAGGTCACAAATGTGAAGCCCTCGTGAGGGATTCAGGCTCTTGGGAGGAGGCACTGCAGTGAGGCTGCGCTGCCCCTTTCTCTCCGCCAGGCCAGGACGCAGCGGCAAGGTAACCGCCCGCAAGCCGGCAAGAGGGCCCTCCGCAGCACCTGCAGCCCCTAGCCGTGCTCACACCTTCATCTAGCACTGCAGGCTTCCAGCACTGGGAAGAAAATAAATCTCCATTGTTTAAGCCACTCAGCATGTGGCCTTTTGTTGGGGTAGTCTGAGCTGCCTAAATAACCACCAGAATAAATAATAAGAGTAATTGAAAAAATTTTCAGTGAATACATATAAAATTACTTACTTTGAAGGCCTTATATCGTTCATCATTTAGCACGGCTTTAACTTCAGAACTTTCTCCGTCTTCAATAATTTCCTATGTAGATGGTTTAAAAATATTTTAAATTAGTGACATTGGAGAATTATAGTCTGTGATTATCAAATTTATACATCTAGTAGCTTGATTTCTCGTGACTTGCATGACCATTGCCTGAGCATATTTTTCTACCTAATTTACAGAAAGCGAGATTTTCTCTGTTATTTGAAATCCTAGGTCTTCATGTATTCAAAGACCTTTTATAATCTTCAGAGGAAAGGATTCAGAGTGATTAGGGCACAAATCTACTGAACCCTTATATGAAAAGTTTTTACTGGAAAACACATGCCCAGATATTTCTGATAATTTTCTTTTCAATGAATGACAACTTTTTGAAATAAGAGACCTTTCCCATTGAGCAGGTTATTTTTGGATCCACCAAAATGTCTGTGTACATTAAGTTCTTAGGATGTCTGGTTCGGCAACACCTCGTCCAGGTAGAATTTCCCTTGACTAATGTATCTCGAACTTGACTATGCTGAGATTACTAGCAGATGACCAAGTTGTCTTGCTGGTGAGACAAGTATTTTACATACTTTTATTAAGTATATAAGACCATTTCAACTCTTTCTGGAACACAGAGAGATGCAAAATCAGTGTCACTAAACATCTCACACGCACTACTTCTCTAGAGGGGACAACCCCTGAGTGCAATGGCATCTTCCCAAAAGCCTGTTGTAGACGTTAGCCCTTCCCCGCTGCAGAGTTCTCGGGTCACTAGAGCCTTTCCCTGTAGGTAATAGCAATATGGGAGACTCTTCTCGTTTCACTAGATGGCCTTATGCAACTCCAGCTGTGATACTGTCAGGGTATGGATTAAACACATTTATGCATCTATTTATCTCAGGTAGATGGATAGGCTGGTAGGTAGGTAGGTAGATGGACAGGTAGATAGGCAGAGATAGATAGAGATCGAGATAAATACTATATAGATATAGGTGTGGAGACTGGAGATGCAGAAAGAGAGAATAGTTGTGAATACCATAGCTACAACGGACAGGAGAGCCTGCTGTTTCTACCCCCGCCTCCCGCCCTGTTCTAGCCTTACCTCTATAATGCACTTCACCTCTTCTCCCAGGCAGGGAATGCCCTCGGTGTCCTTCATCCTGATGATGGTGAACGGCAGAGACTTCAGGACAGAGGCTGCTCTCATGTACGTCACATAAGAGCCTTCATTCTCTTTAAACTCACAGTTTTCGGCCAGTACCTCAAAGGCGTTCTGGGGAATTAAACCAGATAGACAAAAGCCCTCGAGGTAGTGGCCACTTGCAGTGCCTCTTGCACTCTTTTGCCTGTTGGGCAGTGTCCTGGAAGGTTGGGATTGCGCCTCCCATTCCTCTGTACCTCCTGGGTGAGATCAGGGGGTTGCACTGAAGTGCCAGGTGCCAGGTACGTTACAAGGAAACTGAGTTCTCTGCTGTTAGATATTCAGGCATAACTTAGAGCCCAGAAGCGGCCTTGGCCCACCGTGCCCCGTGAGGCACGCTTGGCAGGGCCTCTCCTCTTGGCCGGCTGCCTCGCTGATCTGCGGTTAGGCTTCTGTTGCTGTCACTAGGTACCCTGGTTCACACAGCCTCCGAGCCCGGGCTACTTAAGGTGGGGCGTGTTTACACTGCCACCAGAAGAGGGCGCAGCTGCCCTCTGGGACGTCGCACTCAGTGTCCCCAAATCTCCAGTTTCCTGATCTTCTTCACAGATGTGGGCCTGGAGTCTAGAAGTGAGAAGCTTTGTGTGTGATAAACTGCTGCATGCTTTATCTAGGTCCCCACTGGCCACTAGGCGAGGACACAGCCTGGAAATGATCAAGCTCATTTCTTATTGCACAGAGGGAGAGGGACTGGCTTGCCGGGTTGGCTGATGTCAGGCTAGAACGCCCATCGGCAGACTCTTCAACTTTGGCTTCCCAGCAAAGGCTGGTGATACGTTATTGTTCTTTCCGTGTAATTTGCTCTTACTATGTTCTGGCAGAATCACAATATTTGGCTTTTCAGAATATTTGCCTTCAATTCAGTAATCAGGACCCGACAGATTACAACCCAAATGTATTTTGGTCATTTCCATAAAAGAAAAGGACTCATTCTTGTCCCAAACTTCCAGAAAGGAAAAACATGATTCAGTTTATAGGCCCAGAGAAAGCGCCTGGCTACCCTTCACTCGCGCTGGGTGTTGATGTAGAGCCTGCTCACCGTGAATATGCAGTTGTAGTTGTCCAAAGTGGTCTTCCTCTGACACGCGTACTCAGCGATCTTTTGCACAGCGAGGGATGCCGCCTCCTCGGGACCTGCTCTGGGGCTAGCTGGAGAGTCTCTTTTCACCTAGACAAAAGCATAAGCATCTGTTTTTAAAAAACCAATAGTGATAATAGTAGGTATATAGAGGAAAAATAATTAGAGACTGTTTGATGGCAGTTGTCTCTGGAAGGAGAATAAAATTATCAGAGACTCAAATGTCATGCTACAGGGCCGGCCAAATAGCTCAGTGGATTAAAGCGCCTGCAAGCAGGTGCAGGGGCAGGGAGTTTGATCCCTGGGCGTGCTGTGTTGGCTCCGCCCCAGGGGCACACTGAGATGGCAATTGAGACTGGGCGTGTGGCACACGCCTGTAATCCCAGCTCTTGGGAGGCTGTAAACAGAAGAATCACTATGAGTCCGATCTAGTAGTGAGACCCTGAACACCCTCTAGACCCTACCCCCCAAAAAAATCATGTTATATACACTTCTAATACTTGTATTTGCCATTATTACTATGTATTATTTGCTTTTTATTAATTTTATTGAGAAATAGCAATGAGACAGTTTCAAAACCGATTAGTAGGACAGTTTCAATAACTAATACATTGCATATTGTTGTCTTCGTAGTGGTTATTCATAGTACAAGATGCAGACATGATGTCCTGTCCAAACACTCTTAGTACAAATCTTTCTTCTCATTGAATTAAGAGAAAGTAGCTATATATCTATCCTAACTATTCTGCATATACAGACACAAAATAGTCCTTCATTTGTATTCCCTTTTTTGTTATGTATTGTTTGTGAAACAAGAACACAGCCATGACAATGAACCAACAATGAATGACAACTGGTATTTTCTCTGGCTTTATGATGACCCAATCTCTCTTCCCAAAGATGGTAGCCCTAGTGGTTGATGATTTGGAACTAAACTTAATGTTTTTCTTCTTTCTTTTCTTGAATGCACATAGTACATAGTACATACGAGCCCTCTATATTTCTTGTTGCTGGATGTCAAGGCTTGCGTATTCTGAAATGTTTAGGTATAAATATGTCCATGAAAACAGCTACCACCTAGTCATCAGGTCCTTTAGGTGCTGCATATGAACGTCTAATCTTCATTTGTCTTGTGAATTGGGCACTAGAGTTACAGGACGGAGGAGGAAACAGAAGTTCAGCACAGATGAATGACTGGCCCATGGCCACACAGGACACAAGCAGAGGACCTAGGGTCTCACCTGGGCCACTGCCTCCAGGACCCTGCACTCAGCATCCAGCAGAGGGCAGGACACTCACCACAAGCTGGTGCTCCCCTGTCATCTCCACAGGCTTCCCGGCCCCCATGCACGCCGTCAGCCAGGAGACGTCCAGAAGCTCCAGCCGGGAGCTGGCTCGGGCGTTTTGCACCTGTAGCCACTCCAGAACATCATCGCCCGAGTTGTTCTCTGCCACCAGGTGGGTGACAGAATCGCTGCAAAAGGCAACATGAATTTATGAGCTAAGGAGCTTTCAAAATCAGAAGCTGTCCTCTGCCCTCCAGGTTTCAGCGCATTTCATCTAATGGAGAAGATGCTCAGTAGCTGTCTCCAGAGGCTTGGAGAAGGCAGGCCTCCAGGAAGGGAGGCCTCTGTTTCACTTAACGAAGCAGTAGTGGTCTACATCCATGTCAGATGCAAGGAAAAGATGTTAAGACAACATTAGCTGTGCATATTACACATTTCTTATTGTGGTGTCAATGGAAAACCAAGATTCAAAGAATAAGGAAGATGATTTGTCCTGAAAGTAGAACCCAGCACTCCAAACAGTTCTGGTGCACCATTTCACCTTTAGCTTTGGAACACTTTCATCCAGGGGCCTTCAGACCAAGTGCCTGCTTAGGCAGGTGCCGGGATGGGAGTTTGGTCCCCGGCACCACATGCCCCACCCCTCGATGCGCTGAGACAGCCACGGAGACCTGCCACGGTGGCTCACACCTACAATCCCAGTGCCAGAGAGGCTAAAACAGGGGATCCCTATGAGTCCAAGCTGCGCAGTGAGATCCTGTAGGCCCTGTACGAAATACACTTTTTTAAAAAAGAAAAATATTTCTGGGAATACTTGGGAAGTCCAAGATCAGCGTGCTGGCGTAGTCAGTGTCTGGCAAGGGCCTGTTCCTCATAAATGGCAGCTGCTAATGTCTTCAGCTGGTGGAAGGGGAGACAGTTCTCCGAGGCATCTATGAAGGCATTACTCTCATTGACCTACTCGCTTTCCAAAGATCTCACTCACTACCGTTAACTCGAGGATCAGGTTCCACGAGTTTGGGTAGAACATAAACATTCAGACCGTAGCAACATCCCACTAAGACTTCACAACCTATTAGTAGGCGAGGACCAGGCTTTGGAGAACTTTGCTCTATGTTTCTGAAGCAGACTCCTGTGATGTAAGTGAGGCAAGGACCCTTCCCCTCGCAACCACTGGACACTGCCACGGTCAAGCGCTGCCCAAGTTCTTCACATTATCATCTCGTCTAATATTCACACAACTCCTCAGGGAAGTGTGATGCTGTTCACACTTTACAACTGAGAATGTGGAAGAACAGAGGAAGCGAAAGGCATCATGAAGGCACACAGCTGGTAGACGGTACTTATTTGATTGTCAGCTATCTCAGTTATGTCGTATCGACTTTTCAACACATCTGTATAGTTAGGATCATATCATTGGAGCCAACGATCTGTAAGGCCTTTCAGCTCAAATAGTCTATAAAACTGGGAAATATAGAGGGGAAGCCAGACATCCGAGAGGAAAGCAGACATTCTATCTTCCTTTTCCTACTTCTCTTCCTTGACTCTTTCTTTCTCTTTCTTTCTTTCTTTCTTTCTTTCTTTCTTTCTTTCTTTCTTTCTTTCTTTCTTTCTTCCTTCCTTCCTTCCTTCCTTCCTTCCTTCCTTTCTTTTTTTCTCTTTCTTTCTTTTTCTTCCTTCCTCCTCCTCCTTCTCGTCCTCCTTCTCCTCATCCTCCTCATCCACTTCTTCTTCTTCTTCTTCTTCTTCTTCTTCTTCTTCTTCTTCTTCTTCTTCTTCTTCTTCTTCTTCTTCTTCTTCTTTCTTCTTCATTCTCTTTCTCTCATGGACTCTTCAGCCTATTGTTGTCACTATTGTAGGTACAACCCCAGTTTCTTGTGGTGATGACGGTGGAAGGAGGGAGTTTGGTACCTGTGGTGATTGACATTGTGTCAACTTGAGATGTTGGAAGCTTGGTTGCGCAGGCTTGTTGGTGCCATGACCTAGGGCGTGGAGGCCCCACCCCCAAGTGACTCGGCACAAAGAGGATATACAAAGGGGTTGAGGAAGGTTTTTATACTATTTTATTTGTTTGTTTTTCATTTTTTGGTGGAACCAGGAATTGAACTCAGGCCCTTGTGCTTGCCAGGCAAGTGCTTATTCTACTGAGTTATCTCCCTGGCCCTGAGGAAATTTTTAATGACATTAAACTTAGTGGAAGTGAAATAATTTTAAGATAACTTTCTTCTGGTTATATTCATAGAAAATTGGAATGACAAATAGAAAAAAAAAAAAGATCTACAGTGCCAATCTTTTTAATATTATGGTGTCTTTTTGTACTGGGTTGTGGGGAGGAGGATGAACCCAGAAACACAAAAGATGCAACCTGGATCTAGGCTAGGCTGAACCTGCCAGTCACAGTGATGGTTATACATTTATGAATTGACAATTATCACATGACAATGAGGAGACACATGATGGATATAATTTTACATGAAAATTTAAAAGATATAAAAATTGCACATGCAGCCTTAGATGTCTGAGAGCTTGGACTGTGGAACTAACTTCTAAATCTTAGTTCTGAATTTTTCTCAGATGCCAGTGTCTAATTTCTCAGCTCTTAGCCTGTTTCCCACTAGGGGTCCTGTCCCTCTCTACATACTCAGAGGAACCCCCGAAAACAAGCGCAGTGGGCGCCTTCCTTCTTTGTGCAGGTCAGACCTCCCACTCTGCCAGCCATCTGATGCCTTAGCCCTCCTGTTCTTTCCATTGTTCTTACAACTTTTGTTTTCCAAGAAGGAGTATTCTGGACTCTTTCCATTCGATGTAAGACTTGTTTTACAAGTAATGACTTTAGTCATTCATAGTTAAATTGATCTGTTTATGGTTTTCAAATTCTCCTGCCAGTTTCCCTTAGCAACTGGTATGTTTCAGAATCCTTGAAACTGAAAAAAATCAAAGCAGTTTTTCCCCATATTCTCATGAGTATCACTAACACAACTTTCTATCTCTAGCTCTGTTCTCTTTACCCTAGAGGATCTTGCCTTGGCTTTTGGGGGCCTGCCTTAAATAGGATTAGACCATTGTTATTAAAGCTCATGAAGTTTGAAATAGAAGTAATTTGGGCTGGAGCATGACTAAAGTTTATGGACCTTGTCCTTGAGTCTATAAAAATAAAGTTTTAATTAAGTTGTTGATGAAAAATGTAATACTTATGCATTGTAGAAAAAAAAAATATATATATATATATATATTGTATTTTAGAGAAGGGTCTACAGGGTGTTCAGGGTCTCACTGCTAGATTAGACTCATAGTGATCCACCTGTTTACAGACTCCCAAGAGCCAGGATTACAGGCGTGGGCCACCATGCCCAGTCTCAATTGCTCAGCGTGCCCCTGGGGGTGGGGCTGGCATGGCACCCTGGGGATCGAACCCCTGGCCCCTGCACCTGATTGCAGGTGCTTTAATCCACTGAGCTATTTGGCCGGCCCTGGAAAAATATTTTTAATTACAAAAATTATTGTTGGTAAGCATAGGTTCCTTGGGCTGGTTTCATGTTCACTATGTAAATCATTTTCTGAGAAAACATTTCTTGAAGCCTACCATGTGTAAGAACATTCTCTCAGTCATGCAAATGCGGCCTACCTGGCAGACTCATGGAGTTGGGAGGGTTAGTTGGGTGAGATGGTCAGGAAGCTGAGCTTAGGCAATGGAACTCGTAGCCTTGCAGCAAGTCCTGTCTTCTAGGGGGCTTTAGGGGCCTTGGGCTCTGGGAGCAGGCAGCTGCAGGGAAGCCAGGCAAGACGGGAAGAGTGAGAAGATACCAAGGAAAGTTAAGGAAGCTGTGTTTGGGTGTGTGACCTAGAAGGGCACAAGATGAACTTCTTCAGCATTCTTGTTTTCTACAGAGGGAACCAACCTCTTTCATCCAGTGCTGTATTTATTTTGCAAACAATTGCTTGAATATTTTGGTTTTAAACACAATTTGAAGTGATAAGACATTATCAAACATAAACAAAGCTGGAGACTACTTAAAGCAGCAAGGACAGATTTTATGTTGCAAGAGGGAAGAAGGTCCAATGTAAAATGTTCTCAACCTTGTAGGCAGAAAACATTTCTAGGATGGAGGAAAGACATGAGGGCAGATGGGAGTTTGTCCCTGTGGGAGACCATGTGGACTTCGGTATTTGGAGCTTAGCTGGGGGGGCTGTCTTCCTGCTTAGACCTCCATAGCGCATTTACAAAGCGACCACTGGAAGGGTGCTGTTGTCTTCAATGGAAGCAAAGAGAAACGTTACCCACAACGATTTCTGCCGGCACCCACCTGCTACAGTATTTGTCACGTTCTGGAAATATAAAACAGTAGAAGACATGAGTCAGCAATCAAGGAATTGTTTTTTTAGTTGACTCTCATCTGGAGAAGAGACTTTCTGTAGTGTGAATTCCAGCAGGGTGCCCCTGAACTCAGACCCTTGTCCTCCCATAGAGGCTGCATGTGACAGTCATCTCCTCAAATGTTTGGTTTTTATTGTATTTTTTTAAAATGTTTTTGGTTGTTACAGTGTCTCACTATACAGCTCAAGTAGCTCCGGTTCAGCCTCTAACGTATCTTAGAGACAGGAGACACCTGGACTCCCTCTAACCTAATTTTTTTTTAAGACTTATTTATTTATTTGGTACAGGGTCTTGCTACACAGCTGTGGCTTGTAGCAATCCTCCTGTCTCAGCCTCCCCAGCACTGGGATTACAGGCATGTGCCCCCATACCCCGTTTTGGTGGCCAGCATGGCATGGGGCCGGCATGGCATGTGGTACTGGGGATCGAACTCGGGACCTTGTGCTTGCCAGACAGGGTGTTACACTGCTGAGCTATCTCCTGGGCCTCTACCGTATCTTAGAAATAAGAGACACCTGGACCGCCTCACCCCTTCCCCATCCTTGTTAAGATATTGTAAAGGTGAAAGAGGGTAAACAAAACTAATTGCAAAAAGTGTGTTACACCCTATGTCATCATAAATTCCTGTGACCAGTCCCTGACCTCTCACAATAACAGCCCATTGTGTTGCCCTAGAAGCCAAAAAAGTATTTGAACAGAAGAAGAAAAAAACAAAACAAACAAAAAAATGGGCCAGCACTTCCTGACTTGCTAGTCGGAGGCGTTCGGTGGCTAGCTGATTGGATTGAAGTGTTTCCCCATGTGCGTCTGTCA